AAAAAAAAAACAAAAAACAAAACAGCAAAACGGTAACGTGGGCGGCACGACGGCATCATGGAAATCCGTGAATGGGCTTTGGCGATGGCTCATTAGCTGTCTGCATTGATTCCAGCTGGCCCTGTTCATCCGCTGCCTGTTTTGCCGGTTCCATTAGTATTTTTTCTTTGCCTGTTAGTAGCGCGCGCTTCATCTGGGTCTGTGAAGGGTTGTATCTCACCTGTAATGCCTGTCAAAAAGTTCAAAGTACAAGCTGCAAAGTCATTAAGCAGGTTTGCTCTGTATGCTAATTTTTTTCCCAAAATTTTTCAAATCATGGTGACTTGCGAAAACAAAGATTCGGCGTATTTGTGGTGCGGGTCATGACATACCCGACCATTTCCCGATCGGCAGCGGTAGCAGGTGGACGTGACGGCGGCGGCCAGTGTAGCCATTACGTCACGGTGGTAACGCTTCCTTGTTTCCAAGACTCCAAGTGATTTGACTTTCACTTTCCACACAATCACTTTCCAAATGACTTGAATTAAAGCAGTAGGCCGGTTACATTCAACTTCGGGAAGCGTCTCGTTTTGTCAGTAAGCTGGTCATGAACACATCTCCGCCGGTTACGATCTGGTCGTCCCAGCTGAAAACCCCACATAGCGAGGAGTGACTCCGTTCGGCGTGTGGCTGATGATGTGTTTCGGGTTTTACTGTGACTTGTGACCAGTCGGGTCGGTCTGGTGATGGCAGGGCAGACTAGGGGCGCTTCGATGAAATTTTATAACACCTAATCTGACGTGCTATTCAATTTCCAGCGTGCGTGTTTAAGCCCGCCATATTTTTGTCTACTTCAACATTAAGACGTTATAGTCGGTGTGTAAATCACGAAAAATGATCGCCTGACGGATCTTCTACGCCAGGAAAGTTACTGTCCTTGCCCTACTTCCAGTGGCTGCACTCCCCTTGACCTGACCATTGTGTCTGCAAATAAGTGTTCTGCCCGGTCCTGAGCTCCAGCCAAGAATCCAGAATCAACCGCAACACCTTTCCCCCCAAATATCGGGCAGCTTTGGGACTTTTGTGGAGCGCGTGTTATTGTCCAATGACATGAAAGTTGCACGGGCCGCTGTATCGTGTCCTGCTAACGGCTGCCGGGAGCTGTCCTGCTGACGGCTGCCGGGAGCTGTCCTGCTGCCGGCTGCCGGGAGTGTCCTGCTGACGGCCGCCGGGAGTGTCCTGCTGACGGCCGCCGGGAGTGTCCTGCTGACGGCCGTCGGGAGTGTCCTGTTGACGGCCGCCGGGAGTGTCCTGTTGACGGCCGCCGGGAGCTGTCCTGCTGCCGGCTGCCGGGAGTGTCCTGCTGACGGCCGCCGGGAGCTGTCCTGCTGACGGCCGCCGGGAGTGTCCTGTTGACGGCCGCCAGGAGCTGTCCTGCTGCCGGCTGCCGGGAGTGTCCTGCTGACGGCCGTCGGGAGTGTCCTGTTGACGGCCACCAGGAGCTGTCCTGCTGCCGGCTGCTGGGAGTGTCCTGCTGACGGCCGCCGGGAGCTGTCCTGCTGACGGCCGCCGGGAGTGTCCTGCTGCCGGCTGCTGGGAGTGTCCTGCTGACGGCCGCCGGGAGCTGTCCTGCTGTCGGCTCCTGGGAGTGTCCTGCTGTCGGCTTCCGGGAGCTGTCCTGTCAGCTGCTGGGAGCTGACCTGCTCTTGACTGCCGGGGGTTGTCCTGCTGTCGGCTGCCGGGAGCGTCCTGCTGTCGGCTGCTGGGAGTGTCCTGTCGGCTTCCCGGAGCTGTCCTGTCAGCTGCTGGGAGCTGCCCTGCTCTTGACTGCCGGGAGCGTCCTGCTGTCGGCTGCCGGGAGTGTCCTGCTGACGGCGCTCTCGCAGTTTCAGGCGACCAGCGTGCAGCGTGTCAGACGATCGGAGTCGCCTCGAGCGATGGCTCACGACGAGCCAGCGGGTCAGGTGGCCACCCGGCCGCCGGCCACCGCCGTGCCCTGGAGTCGGTGGCCGCCACCCGCCGCCGCCGCCTCGCACGACCAGTTCTTCAGCGTGGTGAAGAAGGCCCGGCCGGCGCCGGCCGGCTCCGCGGCAGCACCGGCTCGGGCTGGACCGGCGCCGGCCGCGCTAGCGGCGGCCGGCGCCAAGCCGCGACCGAAGCCTCGCGCGGCGCCAGGCACCGTGCCGAGGGTAGCGCTCGACCCGGGCCGGCCACGGCCCGCCCTTGCGGCTCCCAAGCCGCGCATGTCCTGGGATCTTGACCTGCTGACCGAGGAGCCGGCCGCCGCTGGCAACTTCGCCCACGAGCTGGAACAGTCGCCGACCTTCGTTCAAGCTGATTCAGAGGACCGGTCATCGCTGGGCTTGATGGCCTCGCACCGGGCCGTGCCGCCGCCTTCGGGCCTCTTTAAGACGGCGGCGCCGCCAGCACGGCCGGCACGAGACGGCCCGCCGAGGAGCGGGCGCGGCGGCAGGGCGGCCGGGCAGCTGAGCGCTCCCCGCAAGTACAAGAAGCAGGCGGCTAACGGCGCTGGCCGGCACGTGGACGCCGTTAGCATCCTCAATGCCAAGGCCATGTGGATGGGAGCCCGGCAGCCGTTCCACAACGACTTGGGCAAGGTGAAGCAGAAGCAGCGCCGTCGCAAGGAGAAGGTGACGGCGGTCCGCGACGACGGAGGAGCGTCGGTCACCGTGTGGCGGCCGCAGGAGGGCGGCCGCTCCACGGCGGCGCCGCAGCCGGGCCGCCAGTCGGCCGGCGGCGGCGTCTCGGCAGTGAAGGGCGCCGCCCCGCCGCAGAGACGGCCGTCCGGCGGCCCGGCCAGCGACGCCCTGCTTACCAGGGCCGAGGCTAAGCCACTGTTTGAGCACATTGACGAGGACTGGGCTGTCATCAAGAAGTCTCTGGAGAAGACGGTTCCTAGCAAGGCGGAGAAAACTGGTGATGCTAAACGTCTGGCGAAAGCGTCTCCTGAAGTACCATCCCAGTCGCAAGACAAGAACACCAAGCGCCTCGACGGTTCGTCAAGCGACGATGACTTTGGTAACGACATCAACGCTCCGCTGCAGAACTTGGAAAAGCTCCAGCAGCAAATGATCAAGACTTTGATGGACGAAGGCGCGCTCAACGCACTGGAGAAGAGTCGAAAGACGCAGAAGCAGGTGCACTTCATCAAGAAGCGCAAAAAGATGAGTGATTACTGGAAAGGCAAGATTGGTGGCGGGAAGGGGCCGCTGCCGCTGCGGATCAAGCGGCCTTACACCGTCCGGCCGCTGACATCAGACAATGTGAAGCACATGGAGGACGCGATCGCAGCTGTGCTGGCCTGGTCGGACGGGGACGGCGGCTCTGACCGGCCGCCAGAGCCGGCCGCCGGTCCACCACCGCCGCCGTCTCCGTCACAGCGGGCACCCCAGCTGCCGCCGGCTCCGGCTACGGCTCCGGCTCCGGCTCAGACTCAGTCTCAGTCTCAGACTCCGACTCGGACTGCAGTAACTGCTCCGGCACCGGCCGGGCGACAGACGGCGCCTCTGACGGCGGCGGACGCCCGGTTGCAGCAGGTGAAGCACGACCTGGCGGCGCGGCTCCGCAGCGACATGCTGGAACAGGAGGCGCGCGCGCGCGCAATCCAGCTGCAGATGGCCGCGATGCAGCAGTGTGACGCGTTCCTGGCGGGCGGCGGGTCGCCGGCGCCAGCCATGCACCGGCCCCTCATCCGGCTGCGTCAGCGGCGGCGGCCGGGCACGCCACACGTCGTCCGCATGTCTGAGTCGGCCTACCTGGCCGGCGCCACCTTCACCGACGACTGTCTGGCCGATGACGAGGAGGAGGACGACGGGCTGGTGCCGCCTGTGAGCGAGCCGGCCCTGCCGCGCACCATGCCCACCGCTAAGCTGAAGGAGTTTCTCGACTCGGCGCGCGTCTCGCGCTACCGGCGCACCTGCAGCAACGGCCTGCTGTCCTCGCCGGAGATGGCTGACGACAGTCTGGAGCGGATGGTGTTTGTGTCGCGGGCGACGCTGACTCCGCGGGCGCCGCTGCTCGACCAGAGCCTGCCTGTCGACCCGACCGCCTGGTACGGAGGGACGCTGTCCCCGGATGTTGGCTGGTACATGGGTGCGCCGTCTCCCGCCGGCGCCGGCTGGCAAGGCTGGCAGCAGTCGGCGGCGGCGGCGGCGGCGGCGGCGGCGGCGGCGGCGACCTCCGGGTGGGTTCAGCAGTCACCTGCGGGCGGGGTGACGCCCGTCACCGCTCCGGCAGAGCTCGCGGCGGGCCAGGGTGGCGTGGACGCCAGCTGGCGCAGCCTGGACCAGTCGCTGTCGGTGGCGGTGACCGGACACTCCTCACCTCGGTCTGCTACCGATCAGGCGTCGCCGACGAGGCGGCCCGGCCAGCTATCGGCGTCGTCGGTCGGCACGCCGCTGCAGTCGCTGTCGCCGACGGCCGCCAGCGCGTCGTCGCTGAGCGTGACGCCGGCGGCGGGCGGCACGCCGGCGCCTTCGCCGCAGCCGGCGGCGACGTCTCCGGCCGAGGTCAGCACGCCGCCGGCGGACGGGCCGCCACTGCCGTTCGCCTGCAACCGGTGCCCAGCGCGGCTGGCGTCCATCTCTGAGCAGGTGTACCACGAGATCCGGCTGCACATGGTGGCGGCCGGCCAGTTTCGCTGCCTCGGCTGCCCCATGCAGCTCGAGATGAGCGGCGAGCCTGATCTGCTGGACGGTCTGCTGGATCACTATCTGAGGCACGTGGACGGTGCAGGCCGGCTGCACGCTGCCCGTCCCTTCGGCGACCACTCACGCTGCCAGTACTGCGGCCGTGACTTCACCGACCCGGCCTCGTACGGCGTGCACGAGGTGCGGTGTCGCGCGCTGACATTCACCTGCGGCACATGTGGCGGCCGGTTCGAGTCTGGTGAGCTGCTCAAGTGGCACGAGCTGGAGCACCTGCGGGCTGCCGACGGCAAGTACTGCTGCGACCACTGCGACTCTAAGTTTGTCAAGCGCGAGCAGTTGCTCGGCCACCGGCGCTTCCACTTCAAGGACAAGAACGTCGAGTGTCCCAAGTGCGGCAAGAAGTTCATGACCACCGGTATGCTGACAATGCATAACAAGTGGAAGCACTCGCAGGGGCCGTGCCGTTTCTGCGGCCGGCCGTTCACATCGGCCACCGCGCGCCAAGCGCACGAGGAGCACATGCACCTGAAGCACATGATGCACATGTGTGACGTGTGCCACTTCCGCGTGATGGCCGCCTCGCAGCTGCGCGTGCACAAGCGCACCCACTCGGCCGAGACACCGCACCGCTGCCCGGACTGCGAGCAGGCGTTCGTCTCCAAGAACGTGTTGCGCAAGCACCGGGCGCAGCAGCACGCGGAAGAACTGCCCCCGGCGACGGTGGACGGCGGTGCGGCGTCGGACGAGCCGTCGGCCTCCCAGAGCGGCGGCGAGGGCCAGCGCGGCCCCGACGGCACACTCACGCCGGCCGAGCTGCGCCAGCTGTTCGAGCGGTACAAGGCGTCATGGACGGGGCCCTCAGACCAGCTGACCCTATCCGACCTGGACACGACCAGCGACGAGGACGAGCGACGCGACCAGCTCGACATTGAGGCCAAGGAGGCGCTCTTTAAGAAGAAAGACAAGAACACGTTCTCCATCTGGAGCTGCCCCGTCTGCAAGGCGTTCTTCACCAAGCTGTGGGGTGTGCGCGCGCACATCACGCTGAAACACCCGGGCGCCAGCGTGCGGCCCGTGCTGCATGACGACAAGGACACTTCGGCCGCCAGTAAGCAGGACTTTCTCAAGGAGATAAAGCGCAATGCCAAGACGGCCAAGCGTGAGCTGAAGCTGGAAGCCAAGCGGCTGGCGCGGATCGCGGCGTACGGCGACGAGCCTCCGCGCCGCGGCCGGCCCCGCAAGTACCCGCTCTCCGAGCGCAAGCCGCGCCCGCCAGTCGACCCGAGCCAACCGCGGAAGCGCGGCCGCCCGCGCAAGAACCCGGACGCCGAGGCGGCCTCGCTGGCGGCGCCGGCGCCCAAGCAGCCCCCGTCGCCACCGCCGCCGCCGCCGGTACCCAAGCCGGAGCCGCCGCCGGACACGGTGGAGCGGCGACGCTGGCGGTGTCTGACATGCGATGACCAGTCGCAGTCGTACGACGACCTGGTGACGCATACGTACATCGCCCACCCGGACGCCGATCTCCCCCGCTTCCAGGTAGTGGTGACGTACGTGCCGAAGGCGGCGAAGGCGCCGGAGCCGGCCGCGCCGCCATCGCCGCCGCCACTGCCGACTGGCGACGCCTCGCAGGAGGAGCGCGACGCCGCCATCTTGGACGCCGCGCGCGTGCGAGGCGCAGAGAAGCGGCGCGCTCCCAGCGCCACTAAGGTGCCTGTCGGTGCCAAGCGGCGCAGCGTACCAGCAATGGTCAGCCCGGCCAGCGGCGCCAGCCGAGGCCGGGGCAGGGGCCGCGGCCGCGGCCGACACCGCTCGGCTGGCACCGGCACCGGCGCGGGCGCCGGCGCTGGCGCTGGCGCTGGCGACTCGTACCGCAAGAGCTACTCAAACATGTCGCGTCGCTACCGGGCTCCTCAGCAACCGGCGGTGGCGGCGGCGGCAGCGGCGGACGAGATGGACAAGCTCTACTGCTATTGCCAGTCGCCCTACGACGAGGTCAGCGAGATGATCGGCTGTGATAATGACGACTGTCAACACGAGTGGTTCCACTTCGAGTGTGTCGGCATAGTGATCGCTCCCAAGGGCAAGTGGTTCTGCCCGGACTGCGCCGACCGGAACAAGGCCTAGAAGGGCGCCGCTGGTGGCGCACCCTAGCGACGCCATTCCTGATTTTTTTTTTGTTATTTGTCTGTTAGCTGTATGGCTTAAGTAGGTGTAGATCGCTCCGCTCGATGTTTTACCCTGGAGTAGACTGTTGATGTTGTGGCTTTATCGCATGGAATGTGCCCCCGTGCGACGTGTTGTGGCGGCTGCTACATGGTCTCCTTTGTGTGTATGGATGAGCTACGACTGAGTACGAGACAAGGCAATTCTCTGCTGGCCGCACGGGCTATTCGTCATCGGATGCGATCCCAGTCTGATCAGTATAATATACGTAAAGGATCAACTCAGTGTGGCGCTGCCTTCTGATGTGTCTGAATGTCCGGCCACTGCCCGGCAGGCTGCTAGGGCGGAGTGCTGTTTCCCCATTGTCGCACCCCCGCCCGAGGTACGCGTGCCGCAGCTACGACCACCTGCCCAACATATACGATGAGCGCGTTCGTTAAACAATTGTCGCTGAGAACTGGCGAACTGCAACGCGATAGTTCCAGCATGAGACTTGCAGCGCCACCATTCACCGTACTTCCCGTTCCTGTCGTGCTCGCATGAGGCGCAGAGAACGTTTTGAGCGGCACAAGGTACAACCGGACCTACACGGGCAATTAGTCGTTAAAAGTACAATCATGTCCGCCCTGGCATACTTGTTGCTAGATGTGCTTCTACCCTTTATTGAAATACCCACCGTTTCATATGTAGCTTTATTTCAGTCAACCACTCAGTCGCTTCAAAATATACATCTTCAAACATTCCATCACGAGGCATGACAGCTAAGCGAGAAGACTTCACCAACGTATTTTTCTCAACATCATGCGTAGCGCTCTCTGCGCACCTGTTCAGTGAGTGTATCGTGTCATACAACATGCGCAACTGCTCCTCCAGCTTCTCGGTGTTGGAAGAGGATGTAATGCCCAAAACACGGTCAAGGGACGGCGTCCCGGTGCCGAGTTTGCGCGGCTGCCGCTGTCGCTCAGCGGAATGCCACCGTTTCGATGAAGACCACAAGTGCCGCCGCCGGCTCCGACAGCTGGCCGGCACGGTCTCTAGGATGACGGCAGCAGCGGGTGCTGGATCAGGCGCCGGAAGTTCAGCCCCGACCGCCGGAACGTGGCGTACTGGCGGGCGTCCAGCAGGTCCACCACTGCGATGACACGCGTGCTGGTCAGCCGGTCGCCGGGCCACGCGTGGGGCTGGCGCCAGGCAGACCTCATGACGTGGCGGGGCACCTACTGTTCAGTGATGGGGGAGGCGTTCACCCCAGCCCGGCGGACAGTCTGCCTGGGCTCACCCAAGGGCCGCACACACCTACCACATCACAGCATTGACTGGCATTCACACGCTACCGCGCGGGGAAATGCTCAAGGACATTGGTTAGAATGCTGCTGCGTCGAGACACAGCTGCCCACCGCTTAAGCTTACGTGTTCATAAAAAATCCCAGATACATTCAAGTCTTGGAAACAGACACCATCGCAGCACGACGCACGTTCATGAAGTCTAAAAACGGGCTCTTCGACAATTTCTGGTGACTTCTCTTTGTTCCAGGCATGTGGGACAAGATGACGGCTGTTTGATGAGGCTGATTTGGTGATGAGGTTTTTTGATGAAGCTTTAATTTGACTGATGGTATAATGAGGGTGACTGCGGGTTAAGGGCAAGCAGACGCCGGGCGTCATTTTGCGCCCGGTGGGACACTCATTGTGGCCGCCGGACAAGTCAACGTATTTCGCCGCAGTGCGTGGCATACCTTCCACACGCGCTTCGAAGCCGGTGGGCAGGTCGGTGGTGTTGCCGTTGTTGTAGACGGCGATGCGTACCTCGCCCCTCGCGAACACCATGTGCGGCCGCGAACCGCTCTGTGGACACAGGGTACCGTCACACCGCTCTGTGCTGCCGTCTTTACCACGCCAGACCCGTAAGTCGACATTCCGTTCATATGTGCTGCCCTCTACATGGCCGCGCACACAGAGACGGAAGACGTTGACTGACGAAGTCAGCACACGGTTTACCGTTCTCCTTCGCAGCATGGTGTTGTTTAAACGATAGAGTTCGGTTCGATATCCGACTGAATGGTATTTAGGTTTTCATATGCTGGCAACCCGTCCATTCGAAATTCATCACAGACTCTGGCACCAGCGCTTGATTTCAGCTCTACGATTTACTTCAATATGAAGACACGTTTATAACCCGGCTCAACACTGTCTCTTGTTGTTGGGAGGCATGACTGAACTTCACCTTCTGTGAATTAAGAGCAATTTCATTCAAATGCACCTCCATTTCGGCCGTTACCACAGTCAGAGCTATAGAATGAGCCTTCGACAAGCGCTCGCTCCAGCCGTCACAGAAGGCGTCCCCGCTCCGGCGGCACACAGTGACAGTGCACTGGTCCGGCTCCATCCGCCATCCGGGAGCACTGACCTGCTTGATCCGGTTGCCACACCAGCGGGCCTCGAAGCCGTCGCGCTCGCGCTCGACCTCGATGTACGCGCCGTCGCAGTCGACCGTGTAGGGCGCGCTCAGATTGTCCAGCGTCACGAGCAGGTACAGGTGGGACTCAGTCTGCCAGTCGGTGGGGCCGGCGTCAGGCGCATTGCAGGAGCGTCGGCCGACGCCGGACGCGGCCAGGACGATAGCTGCTGTCCAAGGCTAACACCCACGGTTTACATCTATTTTACTGAAGACGCGCCACCGCCGCTGCGGAAGGGGTCATCGACCTCTGATCGGACGTGTCGGCGGTAACTGTGTGAGCCCCGACCCGGCGGCAGTCCGCCGCCCTCAGAGAGCCTGCCCCAAGCCGACACGGGGGGGGGGGGGGGGGGGCTCACCTGGATCTGCCATTCGCAGTCAACGGCGGACGACGCGACGCGGGACCGACGCGAGCCTGGCCGGCCATTGAGCAGCGCCGACACGAACGGATACGGCTGAGACCGGATGAAGCTGGAACCGCAGGCGGCGGTGAGGCCGGAACGCACCGGCGTTAGACCGCCTCGCGAGGATCAACGGGTAGCCGCTATCCCCATGCTATGATAGGTAAGCATGTATGACCGAGAAAAGTCGGCGGGACACCAGTGCCGCGCACACGGCGAGCAAGACAGCACCTCTTAATACGGTAGGCAAGGCACCATCAAATAAGTCAACGGTTACAAAATGGCGTCAGCAAGGAGACGAAAACCGACAAAAAAAAAAAAACACGGAGCAGTCGCAGGTCAACGGCAACAGCACGGCTGGTTTCCGCTGCTCGGTCTCCGCCTTCGAGGCCGAACTGAGGCTGTTGGCCTTTGATAGGTTTTGTTCAAAATGTGAGAGCCCCTTTACAGCCTCCACAGCGATAAAAACCGGGTGTCAGTAGCCGGAGAACCATGTCTGCCATTTCGGGACATCACCATTAAAGCGACGCTATTGGCCCCAAAGGCCGACGTAGGAGACCGAGCGCCGCTGGTCTCACCGGAACAGCTGGTCGTCCGTGTTCCGGAGGCTCTCGACCGCGTCGAACGTGAGCTGCTGCTCGGGTCTCTGCGGCCGAACCGGGGCGGCAGCTGGCTCCGCCTCGCTCGGCTGCTGCGCTTGGTCTCGGTGCCGGCTGCCGCCGTGAAGTTCCTGGCGCGACCGATGCCCCACAACGACCGTCTCCGCGCTGAGCTGCTGCGACTGATCGCGGCGCACGGGCGAAGCCATGAAGTCCGCCCAGCTGGGACGGCGCACCGGCCTTCCACCGCTCGGGTCGCTCTGGTCGTTGATGATGCGGTAGATGCTGCTAAGCAGGGCCTCCCGGTTCAGTGCGGGGACAGACAGGGTCGAATCGGCGTCGGCGGCGGCGATCTGTGGCTCGGGGCGGATGCCGGAGCTGTCTGCCGCCGGCAGCGAGTCCGCCGAGTTGACCTCCGGGCTGACGTCGTTGGACACGCTCTTTGTAAGATCCTTGTCAGCGCTGTCGTCGGCGGCCGCCTTCTGCTGCTCGGTGTCTGCCGTCGAGTTGTGCTGGGTGGTGGGATAGCCCTCGGTCTCGGCCACGGGTAGCTGGCTAATCTGCTGTGCTGTCTCACCCTCCACCAGAGCCAGCCGCTCCGAGTCCTTCACGACGGGCAAGCCGACGTCGTCCGTCTCGATTTCGCCATCTACCGCCTCGGGCAGGTCGTGACCCGAGCCGCTGATGGTCGCCTCCTTCGCCACCCAGCTGTTCTTAATCTTGCTCGGCTTAATCTGGCTGGCGGCGTCATCGTTCGGTCCGCCGCCGGACGCCTCCAGTGGTGACCGCTCGTCCACGCCATTCGGCGCGGCCAGCGCCGCCAGTGGGCCGCTCGCAGAGTCTACGAACAGCGTGATGTCATCTTCCACCGCCGAGGCGCCGCCGAAGCCGGAGCCGGAACCGACCTCGTCCGGCACGTGCTCCAGGATGACACGGTCGCCGCTGCTGAAGCCCTGCAGCAGGAGAAGCCGGTCGAGCTGCTCCAGGTTATCCGGCGCGCTCTCCACCTGCTGCGGCTGCGCCGGCACCGGCAGCTGCTGCCCCGCGGCAGGCTCGGCCTGCGCGCCGGCCGCTGGGCCTAGCGGCAGCGCAGAGAGCAGCTGGTGGATGGAGCCGTGCGTCTGCACCAGCGGCAGTAGCTCATCCGTGTCGGCGGCGCCGGCCGACGGCGACGTCAGACCGGTGTCGACCGGCTCCAGCAGCTCCAGCGAGATCTCGTCGGCGGCCAGTTCTCCGTCGGGCCGGGCCGCCTCCTGCATGGCTGACCCGCTGCCCTCGCGCGGGGCCTCGCCGGCACCGGCGGGCGAGCCCTCGGTGTCCGGACTCCACTCGATCAGCACCTTGTCGCCGCTGAACCCGGCCACTGTCAGCAACCGCTCGGCGTCGTCCACCTCCCCCGAGTCGACAGAGACAGACTGGTCTCCAGAGAACTCGGGCTCGGAGAGGTCGGGGTCGTGATGCGTGATTCTGATCTCCTGGTATTTGTGCAAAGGGATGGTGGCGGACGCTGACAGCGTAACACTGTTACCCGACCCCTCCAGTTCGTCCTCCTTAACGTCGGGCAGAATTGCCTTTTTGGTCTCAACGTTGTTGCCCTCAATAGCCACCAGATCAAAAGGAGTGATGGTGGTCAGAAACTCCACTTCCGTAGTGGCTTCCACGCTGCTCAGGTCTCCGGACCCCTCTGACTGGGCGGAATCTCTCTCTAACATCCCTTCGGACTTGACCAGCTCGTCCTCGGCCTCGTCCCCACTGCCGTCCTCGCTGGCGGCGAGCGGGACCACGGAGTCGGCGACGGACGCGCCCAGGGGCGGCGCCTCGGGCAGCACGATGTGTGGCTGCGTGTCGTACAGCGGCGGCACCGTCAGCGTCTCTGAGCCGGCCGCTGTCACCACGAACAGCGCGTCCCCCGCCGACGGTGAGGCGGCCGCTGGCTCGGCCTCGTTCCCGCTGCCCATCTCCAGCGCCTCCTCCGCCTCATCCGGCTGGACGAGCGGTGTGGCGACGCTGTCGGTGTTCCAGAATTTCACGTGCTTCTTCTCTCCCTTGGCAACGAAGATGATCATCGGACTGTCGCCGCATCGTCCTGATCCCGACGCTTAAAGGCGAGAGAAAATAACATTTAGTATCCCAGTGCATTTGCAGGGGGAAGCGGCCATGTCTGAGCTAAGTACCGCGGCGTTGTGCCTACAAGGCCGCCGAGATGTGCGCTCGTGCGGGGAGCGCTGCGCTCCTAATTCAACCGCTTAAGTATTTACACATTGTAGCCGTCTACTGCTGCGGATTTGCTCTTGCAACTGGTATGGCACTTTGCTGATGAATGACACAAATGGTTAACTGGTGATGGTGTCGTTACATCGCTTTTGCGTTATTGCGACGTCGTATCGCCATTACCGTTTCATCATTGTTATCGTTTGACCGTTATTATGGCGCGGTATTGCAGTTCCGGTGAGTCAGGTGGTGTTCAGCCGCACCAAGCACCTCGTGTCGGGAATGTTGCTGCCAGACCAAGGAGGACTCGTTCCGACACCCCGGCCTCACTGTAAGCCGGCCGACGGTAGTCAAGCACCTGAGCCCGAGAGCCGGCCGCGGCAAGCCTGCCGGTTAAGCAGCAGCCCCCTCCTAGGTTTGGAATGTGTCGTTTTCCAAGCGTCATGTTATTTACCGTTTCCGCTCACCGTTATAGCCGCAGAGGGAAACAACATTTGAAATCCTAGGTGCAGATAACATAAAACAGGTGCTAGGTAGCAGCTTCGGGATAGCATTCAAATAAAAACTGAATCGGGCTGAATATCCCCTATAAGAGGAAACCACGAGCTTTTTGGGCCCAGCCTTTTCCATCTAACCTTGATGGATGACGCAAGCCAAACTTTATTTTCGGTAGTCCAGGGAGGCTACATGTTCCCACTTACCCTCTCCTAGGGCCTTTAACTCTCCACCAAACTCGTGCAAATCGTGTGGCGTATGTGATACGGAAACACCTTTGTCGTAATTCACCAGAAAAATCGCCAGCGTCCCTTCGTTTGCCCATATCCCCAGTCCATAAAACACACCCAAGGTTTCTGGAAAAGCAAAGTGCCCTGTTGCTGTCTGTAAGCCAAAATATCCCGAATGATTTACATCAACAGCTTCTGACTATATTACGGCTATCAATATATCGTCGGTCTAGCTTAAAACATCCGGACGTGATCCGTGCGCAGTGCACGCTGAGCTAACTGCAGGGTTGCCATTAGCCACCATCCGTTGGCATGGGTGCCTTGGTCGTCACACATTCTCGATCGGCTCCGTTCACATGGAAAGCGGAGTGTCAGCCGGCGGTCATGGCTGCCGACCAGCGCCTCCTTCAACGGAGTGTTAGCCGGCGGTCACGGCTGCTGACCCGCGCCTCTTTCAACGAAGTGTCAGCCGGCGGTCACGGCTGCTGAGCAGCGCCTCCTTCAACGGAGTGTCAGCCGGCGGTCATGGCTGCCGACCAGCGCCTTCTTCAACGGAGTGTCAGCCGGCGGTCACGGCTGCTGACCAGCGCCTCTTTCAACTAAGTGTCAGCAGGTGGTCACGGCTGCTGACCAGCGCCTCCTTCAACGAAGTGTCAGCCGGCGGTCGCGGCTGCTGATCAACGCCTCCTCCAACGAAGTGTCAGCTGGCGGTCATGGCCGCTGACCAGCGCCTCCTTCAACGGAGTGTCAGCCGGTGGTCACGGCTGCTGACCAGCGCCTCTTTCAACGAAGTGTCAGCCTGCGGTCACGGCTGCTGACCAGCGCCTCCTTCAACGGAGTGTCAGCCGGCGGTCATAGCTGCCGACCAGCGCCTCCTTCAACGAAGTGTCAGCCGGCGGTCACGGCTGCTGACCAGCGCCTCCTTCAACGGAGTGTCAGCCGGCGGTCACGGCTGCTGATCAACGCCTCCTCCAACGGAGTGTCAGCCGGCGGTCATGGCTGCTGACCAGCGCCTCCTTCAACGGAGTGTCAGCCGGCGGTCACGGCTGCTGACCAGCGCCTCTTTCAACGAAGTGTCAGTCCGCGGTCACAGCTGCTGACCAGCGCCTCCTTCAACGAAGTGTCAGCCGGCGGTCACGGCTGCTGACCAGCGCCTCCTTCAACGGAGTGTCAGCCGGCGGTCATGGCTGCTGACCAGCGCCTCCTTCAACGAAGTGTCAGCCGGCGGTCACGGCGGCTGATCAGCGCCTCCTTCAACGGAGCGTTAGTCTGCGGTCGCGGCGACTGACCAGCGCCTCCTTCAACGAAGTGTCAGCCGGCGGTCACGGCGGCTGATCAGCGCCTCCTTCAACGGAGCGTTAGTCTGCGGTCGCGGCGACTGACCGGCGCCGCCACGGCCGGCCCCGCAGTACATACCCACAGTTCGTCGACACGGCGGTGCCATGAGGCGCGCGGCGCCGGTCTGCCCCATTATTGCCGACATTCCAGACGCCGCCGCCAAGTTCAAGGTCGGTCTAGTGACGGTCCCTCGGCCAGCAGCCGAAAACAGCGCACAGGGCTGCGAGCGGCGCCGGCCCGGCCAGGTAAACAGGGCACCGTCATTAACCGGGCCCGCCGCCGCTCCCCTCCTCTCCCCGTCCGCCACATTACGCCTGTCCCCGGCGCCGGCGCCGCTCTCCGAACCGGTTGGGAGCAGGCCGGCGGTGCGGCGGTCTGGTTTGCCAGCAGGGAAGGACGAGCGGCCCGCGGCTGACCCGGCCCGCCAGACGAATCCCTCCTTGACGCGTCATCGGCTGGAGAGGAACGGCGTCGGCCGCGTGACTGCGGTCAGGCAGCCGGCCGGGAGCTGGCCCGGACAGCAGCGGAGCAAGCCCGGCCCGGGGTCAGCGCGCCCGCCCGGCGGCCCGCCGACCCGCTGCAGGACCGCAGCGCTCCGAGATATACGGCCGAGCCTCCCGCTGCCGATGCGGCTGCGGCCAAACCCGCGGCGGTCTCGGCCGGCAACAGACTGTCTTCGTGGCTTCCGAGCGGTCTGCTGGTGACAGCGGTGTCTGTGTAGCCCCAAACAAAGCTATTTTGATTCATCACGACACCGTTAGTAGTCACGCCGCCCATCAGTCGCGGAAGGCTATTTTCCCAGATGTATACGTCCCACGCCTTGATTTGCACCCGATGCAAAACTCCGTGCGCTCGCGAGACCTAGCATCTTCTGGACGTGCATCCAGACGTCGCTCCGGCCCCTCGGCTGACGAGACCGAATGCGATAACCGATGCAGCTGATTGTGATGTCGATGACGATGGCGTTTACACATGACGACAGACGTGACGGATCTGGTGGCTGGTGTCAGATACCATCAGGCACGGTGGAGACAGAGGAGCCAGCCGACGATCGGCCGGCGGAGCGGCATTTCACGCATATCGCGTGCCGGTGGATCACCACCGCCGGCTCAGAGGCCTTCGACCTCCGGATATTGAACCGAAGACAGCTGAGGTTGAGTGGAGAAGAGGTCGCCGGTACTGGACGATGCCCCTGCGCCTGTGCCGGCCAGTGACCTGTACAGCTGGCGCGATCGTGCCCGAGAATCGTCACGCCTCGGTCGTGATCCCGATCGTTTCTTCATGTCATCGGCGCTCGCTGGCTGCCGTTCTCCGGTTTGTCACTGCCTCACACACACCGACACGGACTGCACGACTGAGACCGTCATGCGAACACGCCACCGACGTGCCGCTCCCGAGAATGGCGATGACTCCGACCTCTGACTCTGAGTGACTCCCGAATGACTCTGCCTCCGCCACCGCAGGGGGGGAGGAGGACTGCGGTTCGACTCGAGCTTCGAGAGCGGCCACCACAGGGGAGGAGGGGAGGGGGACTGCGGCTCGACTCGAGCTCCGAGAGCGGCCACCGTAGGGAGGGGCTGCGACTCGACTCGAGCTCCGAGAGTGACGGCCGCAAGGGGAGGGGGACTGCGGCTCGACTCGAGCTCCGAGAGCGGCCGCCGCGGACCGGACAAACAGGGCGGAGTGGCGACTTCTGCCCTTGGGTGGGCTCGCCGCCCCGCCCCACGTCGCCAGATGAGAATCTGGGGGCTTGGGCGATCTGCCCGCCGGAGGCTGCATCACGGAATTGCTGCACGCCTTCATCCGTGGTGTAACGCGTCTCGAGTGTTGGCGCTGGCTGTGCGGCGTGGCCACGGCCTGGCTTTTTCTGTTTCCTGTCTATGACTAGGTGGGCGGGGGCGGCTTTGCATGTTCATATGATCCGGCTACGTTAAGCACCAGAGAGCTGGGAAGGACGCATTTGCATGATAATATGGTCACACCACCCCCTGCAAGTTTGTTTCTGCAACACTGCCACCATGCGCTAGACATGACCTCTCCTCGAAACTTTCGTGGATAGAACGCGGAGCTTGTGACGTTCACAGGGATCCCCCGGAATTCTGTGACTTGTTGTGCTGGAAACGAAACAAGCAAATGCATGTGCAGAAGTGTCCATACGTAATGAACAGATTTTCTAGCCCATTAACATCCCGTGTGAACAAGCTTTTGAAACCAAGATATGGCCAAAGCCTCTCCATTCTTTGAAAAGCCGTTTTAATTTTCCATATGGGAACCAATGCTATTAAGTAGACCAGTAACATACCACATCTCTTGCGTAATTAAAGTAGAAAGTCTTATGATACAAATTGTCTCAGTAATAGTCATCAGGGGCATGTGCAGCTTTCCAAACAGTTTTGAGAAAATAAGCAGCAACAAAATTGGGTGATGACTCATTCATAAACATTTTTCACGGATCCAAATATTGGCACTGTAAGCGTCCCCCCAAGGCGATCTGGGAAGGTTCCATTGCGCAAACAAAGGCTAAAGAAACACGTAAGATGGGAGGAACACTTGTCATATCTTACGAAAACAGTTTTTGTGCTAATTTGATCAACTCTGTTACACACGGTTCAATGATTTCTGAGAAGTTGTGAATTTAAAACGTAAGAAGGGAGAGGTCATAAAAAGCAGGGTGACTAATATCCTTAACAGTCAACAGGCTGTTGTCTGAGACAGAGCTCTGAGATGTTCTAGTTCTGCCTGCTTAATTATTAAAGCGGAAAAAGGTTATTAAAACCCCTCGCAGTACTTCTATTGCTATAAATGGTCTTATTATCGTCTGCCCGTGCATTGGGAAATCTGATTGGCAATAATCTCTGTTACGTGCTTTCCGGGAAAACTACTATCATTTTAACCATTCCCTCGTCCTCTGTCCACTACTCCACTCTGTGGGAATCCGTCCGACAAACGTTGTTGCTTATTTTACTATTTGGATTACGTTTCCCTTGAGAGCTACATTCAAGACGGCCTTCTTGAATGCGCTTTTATGATAAATGAAACATAAAACTTATCTAATATTAACAGTCACTCAGGTGCTGCGCGTGCTGCACGCTTGCAGCTCTCATGAAAGAGCGTAAGTGGTCAGCGTCTGCGCGCCGACGACGCCCTGGCGCGGCTGTCGCCGCTGACGCACAGTGCGGGGGCCAGCCGGGACCAGGCCGCAGGCCGGCCGGCCGGCCGCATGCCGGCGCGCCGCCCTAACTGTTCTGAGGCCGGCCGGCCGGCCGGCCTTGACCGGGCGCCGCCCGACCGACTGGGACCAGCAGGAAGTGCGGGTCTGCGGCCGCCGGGCGCCGGTCCGGCCCGGTCCCGCCCGAGAGCCGCCACAGCCCGGGCGCGCCGCCCGCCTCCCGCCGCGGCACCCAACTGGCCCGGTCGTTAAGATTCTATCGTTGCTCGGCTCGGCGCCGGTACCGTGTGCTTGACCCCGGCGGGATGTCAGCGACCCGAGCCGCCGACTGCAGATCAGAGGTGCGGACGTGCCGCTGTGCGGACGTCTGTCCGGCCATGCGAAGCGGACATTGGTGCATTCAAATCGTGCATTTATGAGCAGGGCCCGATGATGGTGCCATGTTGTGCGTATTAAGGACGTTTACATCAAGTGGTGTAGACCCAGGAGGGAGAGGGATGGGGGTGGGGGGGGGGAGGGGGTAGCAGTCCTCAACTTTAGGAAAAGCGAACATACGTGAGCTGTTTGGTGTGCTTGGTAAAAACTTAGAAACAGCTCGCTCCCAACCCAGCGTTTCAGTTTTGCCTTCACCCGTGTTTACAGCAGGCGCACTGCACAGCCCACAAGGCTGTGTAGGTAAAATAAGCACAAAATGTTTGTGAAAATAAGATAAGAGGCCTTACACCGGTATGCGCCTAGTTTTAAAGATTTCTTTCCGGGAAATACTTCCTGGTTTCTGATTACCGAACCATGAATAACCAGGGAGCCAGCTTAACATCCAGCTACAGGACCGAGGTGGGACTGTCAACAGTTGTTCAAATCCCATTCATAACAAACCTGTTCCTTGGCATCAGCCAAGAGTATTCATCTATTCTCATTAATGTTCCACATACTGCGCTTCGAGTTACATTTCCCCCGGTTCCCCGGAACATGTACATTTTACATTGTATGCGTTCGACCGATTTGACAGATACCTAGAGATCATATCGCCATGTAGTGTCATGGCACGTGTATTGAAAAAATAACGAAGTCATTTAAACGCAAAACACTCATTGAATATGGCTTGATAAGTCGCGTGCGTGGAATGTTGTCGCATTACACCAAAGTAAGACAGTTTCTGGAGGACGATAAGAAGATAAAAAGACAGTTTTGAACCATATTATATATATAGTTATGCATATATATGCATATGTATATATATATATATATATATATATATATATATATATATATATATATATGTATGTATATCTATATATATATATATATATATGTATATATATATATATATATATATATATATATATATATATATATATATATATATACTTCGGATGGTTATGGCAGACCTATCATGAACATATAAAAAAGGCCTATGGCGTGAATGAATTGAGAGGCTACCCCCGTAATAGCCCCCCAGTTACGCGTTTTAGATTGGCTCAGTTCAACAGCCAGCTTATGCATGATCCGGTTTACAAGCTCGCCACGTGCATTTGGCGTGACGTCACAGCTCGTCACGTGCATGCGTCGTGGCATCACTGCTTGTTACCGCGACACCGAAGATTGCGCAATCGACAAAGAAGTTGATATCCCCTGAGAACTCCTCGCGACGATGCTTTCCAACGGCCTGGACGCGATTGGCCGCACGGGTGAATCAGCGCGTGGCTCGCTGTGCGCGACGGGCTGCCAGCGGGCTCCACACACTGTGCGCGACGGGCTGCCAGCGGGCTCCACACACTGTGCGGGGCGGGCTGCCAGCGGGCTCCACACACTGTGCGCGACGGGCTGCCAGCGGGCTCCACACACTGTGCGGGGCGGGCTGCCAGCGGTCTCCACACACTGTGCGCGACGGGCTGCCAGCGGGCTCCACACACTGTGCGGGGCGGGCTGCCAGCGGGCTCCACACACTGTGCGCGACGGGCTGCCAGCGGGCTCCACACACTGTGCGGGGCGGGCTGCCGGCGGGCTCCACACACTGTGCGGGGCGGGCTGCCAGCGGGCTCCACACACTGTGCGCGACGGGCTGCCAGCGGGCTCCACACACTGTGCGGGGCGGGCTGCCAGCGGGCTCCACACACTGTGCGCGACGGGCTGCCAGCGGGCTCCACACACTGTGCGCGATGGGCTGCCAGCGGGCTCCACACACTGTGCTGGGCGGGCTGCCAGCGGGCTCCACACACTGTGCGGGGCGGGCTGCCAGCGGGCTCCACACACTGTGCGCGACGGGCTGCCAGCGGGCTCCATACACTGTGCGGGACGGGCTGCCAGCGGGCTCCACACACTGTGCGGGACGGGCTGCCAGCGGGCTCCACACACTGTGCGGGACGGGCTGCCAGCGGGCTCCACACGCTGTGCGGGGCGGGCTGCCAGCGGGCTCCACACACTGTGCGCGACGGGCTGCCAGCGGGCTCCATACACTGTGCGGGACGGGCTGCCAGCCGGCTCCACACACTGTGACGGGCTGCCAGCGGGCTCCACACGCGTGTTCGGCAGGCAGCCGCCACCCCCTGAGCTGCCGTGTGGGGAGGGAGCTTCAGACTGAGACTGGCCGCCTGTCTCCACGGGGAGCGGCACCGGTCTCCCGCTCTCCTGTCTCTGCCGAGTCGGCGGAGACAGGAGAGCGGGAGGCGCAGCGTCTTGCCGGCGCAGCCGCGGCACGGGCTCCAGCCGGTGAGACGGCGCGACGGCTCGGGCGATGTTGTCGATGCCACAGACGCCCTGGACTGTGACACCTAGCAAAAGCACAGAAACGGTGTGTTGGGAGGGACTTCAGACTATGTTTAAGATGACTTTTCTGACTCCAGTGTAAACGAAAAACCACCAACAACCGTAAGTCCGCAGAGCATGATTCGCGAGCACATTCCTGGACCGGGTTCTTCGCTGATGTGATTGTGATCTCATAACGTCCCCAGCTCACTCGACTCGAATGCGTTTTTAGACGGGTTGCATTCGTAACATAACGCGCCCAGCGAATCTCGTTTGGCTTTATCTGTCGACATCAAGTACAAAATAACGAACTCATCCTCATAATGCCAAGCAGGGACTACATGCTTTGTTTTAGGTTGCGGGAGACTCTAAGCTCGCCGCCTGTTTTGAAAGCCCACGCTGCCACGAGCTTCGATAAAAGTCAAGTCAAGCGTGGACTTAATGTAGACATTGCAGGTAACCAGATATATTTCACAACGGTATACAATACTTCTGGAAGTCATAATCAAACATTGGGCAGTTGTGTTTCGAAGAGCTGTTTTTGCTTATTAGAAATAAAACAATGGTATTTGCAACAGGCTCAAAATAGTTTGTGTTCTTTCTGAATGTCTGACCTCATATCTTATCACCCCACCGGTCATAACGTGGCATTTGCAATGACTGACATTACTGACACGTCTCGTGAACGATACTAATGCGTACTTTAAGCTTCGATGCTCTAGACCCCGGGTATATGACAGGCACCGTCAGCCGCTGTCACAATCAAAAGCGGTTGGCAGACGTCAGATTGCTATCATATTATTTATCCGCCGAAGGCGTACGGTTGATGACTGACCTGGTACTTAGATTTGTCACAAAGACCGTCGTGGCCCAATGATTTTTCAGCGCACACTATTGCATTGTAATCTGTTGAGCAATGTTGCGCAGCACTTTTACCTTATCCGGCATTCAGTCTGCTCCATGCTAAAACAAACATACAGAAGCATGGTGTGGAATATAAATTTAAAGGAATCAGCGACTTAATGAGTAACTCGCACAACTTTGTTTGCTTGGACCCCATTGCCTGAGCTGCAGCGTGTGAATTCTTTGGCCTTGCGGCGAGCGGTGAAATGACTGAACATTATGTTAGCGTATTTGAGAAAGATGTGATACATGACTTACTCGCTCGAATTCCCACACAGGGGTTCCCGGAAACCAGGAGCGGGATCTGGGGAACCAGGAGCAGTCTTGAGCCGCGACAAGACTGCAACATGTTTTACCCTGGTTTCTGTTATGTTCGCCCCATATCAAAGATCAGACGTAACAACTCACGAATAGCTTGATGGTGAATCGTTGTAGCAGAATCGGACCGACAGACCGTGACGAACCGAAACTGGCAGAACGCCTGTGGCTGAATCAGCTCACAAGATAACCACAGTGGTCCGGATGATGTGTGAGGCTGCGGCCGCCGCTCGGCACGCGGGCCGGGCGTTCCCTGCCGAGCGCCACTGACCTGAGTGGAGCAGCGCCACCAGAGTGGCGCCGGCCAGCAGAAGTCGCGCCCACCGCAGCGCTACCGGGGCGGCCATGTCCGTTCTGCTCGGGGCGGGGATGTCGACTGACCGATCAGACGCGCTCGCACACCGGCGCAGGCACCATCGGCATCGGCGCGGCCCGGCCCGGTCACGTGACGCCGGCACCGGTCACGTGACCGTCGGACGGGTCGGCGGCGGCGGTGGCGGGGAGGAGGCGTGGTCAGATTACGCAGGACAGACAAGGCTAGGTGGGAGGTCGCGGCCGCGCCGATCAGACAGAGGGAGAGGGGGCATAATATTTCCTTCTCATCAGACTTTGTAGCTTTCCCACTGTCCGGCGTGTTCCCACCTGACAGCACCCTCCGTGGCATGTCAGCTGGTTTAGCACATTGCTAGTCAATAAACCCAACACGCCTTGAAAATGAAATGCATTAAGATACTGACCGGCCAAAACGAATGGAAGCGTATTAATGATCGCCTGAGAATGATAGTTCAATGGATTTTTTCCACATTTGGGGATATGGACACACGGCACATGCATGCTTCATGTGGCGCGTTACGTTGATTTCGGTTGAAACTTGATTGATTGATTGATACGGATTAGTTTGAATGTACTTTTGTTTTCCTGGACTAAAACAAGATCTAATATTTGTAAAAAGCAGTCGGAGGATAGGTAGATAAATTCATAATTGGTGCTTTGGATACAACTGAAACCTGACAACTAAAAAAGAACATGCAAAACTTCAGTTTTAGGAGTATTTGCGCTGGACGTCATATCGAGGCGTTCAAGACTCTTTACTTCAAGAGGCGTGTGTTGCATATGTAAATAAATCTACTCGGAAATATTGTTTCAAAATTCAGACTTTTGCAGTGTCCCATGGTCATATCCATTGCCAAGATCGTTCGGTAAGGCCTCACGTTTGTTTAAACATGTATTGGATGGAGACGGACTGCTGCATTTTTTTTAGCTGTCGTTTGATGCAAAATTGCGGCAGCTAGGCTCTCCACTGGTTTAGCAAGGTCCCTTCCGACGGGTCGAAACTGTGTTTTGACGGCAAAGGCGGCAGTTCCACGCTAGACTCACGCAAACAAATAACAATATGGTAAGGGGGAGCATTGTTGCCATTCGGCGTACTCGACCCCGCCCCCACGCCCCGTTCAGACTATATCCGAATGCCACCCCTTTAACACACGCTGGAGTGGCCGGTTGAATACCACACTCGGATGGGGGTCGATTTGATTCCCTCATATCTAGATAACTAAGAGAGCTAGATGCATCAAATTCACAGCATAGATTGACCTATATGTGAACTCACTTGTGTCATAATTTGAGGTTCCTTAGTTATGATCTTGGGATCAAATAAGGAAGAACAATGTAATTATCCAGGTTGGTGTTCAAATCACTCCCGGACCTCCTCATGCAACCGCCTTGAACATAGATACTTGTTCTAACCAAAAGCTCACTGATGTTCATTTTAGGTGGGTGACCTTGTTTGATCTTAAGAAGGTCTTGGTGACCAAGCGTTTCAGATATTGTTTTGATTTTTTAAACTTGAATGAACGGGTATGTTCCTTAAAACAAGAGGATGATCTTGATTATTGTAGGTCGGTAACCTACCGTGACCTATAAAAGGTCGATGGAGAAATGTTTGTTTCGGCCACCTTTATCAATAAATTCAAAATGGGCATAAAACCACCACCTAAAATAGCTCTCCAGTAAAAAGCGGGTTGGTTTTGTATTCAGTCCAACCTTCACAACTGACTCAATGGCAATAAGATTGGCCGTAATATTGAATTTGACTGTTAATTTGCTGTAGGAATTACCTCGTATTCCTATGATTGTACATGTCTATACATGCCATATTATGTTATATATGGATGTATATGTATATATGTCATATATCAATATATGTCATATTCAACGATGACAATAGTCCAGTAACAATCAAGCAAGTGTACACAAGACTGGTCTTCAAAACGTAATCGCTTATCAAGGTCCATCTGTGCCCCTGAAGGCCATCACGCTACATCGGCGTCATGCCCACAGGTGCCATTCGTTGCTGCAGGGCAACACAAATCCAACTTTATCTTAATGCTTTAAGCCCGCCGAGACCAACGAATATCTTAGTACATATGGCATAGCCATATCTGACATCACCTGGGACAGGGTTTCTGTTTGCGAATCATCTACAATCTGTGCAAAGCTTCACTGCGCCACCACTAACCGCTTTCCAGCAGCGCTTTCAGGAATGTTGCTTGGAGTGTCAATCTCTGCCTCGGCGGCTGCCATTTATTTGTTCTTAAAAGCCTATCGATCCAGGCCAACAAGCCCATGGATTAGCCCTTCATGTATTGATTTCTTCAAACGGTTCAGAGCTCCAATGCCCCGGCCGTACTCAGAACTGTCAGCATGTGGTCTGCCAGGAGGAAGCGTGTCGGGCTTCGAATTCTGCACAGTATGTGTAATAGTTGTCCCTCGCGACGCAAGTGGCCCTCAGACGCCGCTGAAATTTTCTGAACAAGCTCCTGAGTTCCCAAAAGAGTGATGTCAAAATCATCACTGGCAGTGTTCAAAGGAACATACACGTTTGAAGTTTGAAGACCTCAGCTCAAAAAGGTAATCGGCGATGGTCTATTTCGAGTCAAGGTTGGCCACGTTTCGTGCTCAGTTGTATGCTGCAATACCAATGTCAATAACTCATGACACCGTACCTCCCCTGGCGCGACTCGATGTAATGGCCGCGATTACACCGAGATGTCGTCAGTTTCCTTTTTGGACATTTTCAGATAGGCCTGACATGGGTTAAAGTGAACCACTTTTGTTTAGAAACCAGTTATTAAAATACTTCCTTGAAACAAAAATATCAAAGTAGCCAGTAACAGCTTCAAAAGTGGTGCAATGATGCGATATTATGTTATATTATGCCGGTGTCATGCCCATGTACTGGTGTCATGCATATCTCCACCAAGCGATACAGGCTTGGATGCGTCCCGATGATGCAACATTTCAGATGCATTTCAGCCGCCGGGCCGCAAACCCGAGAGCACGTCTATGCCCTGTTTATTTTCATCTTCGTCGCGCACACACCTCGCAGAACAGCCCCATCGCAACCTTCAGCCTACGATAGGACCCCAGAATTCCACGGCAGCTGGTGCCACGTAGTAGAGCAGCGAGAGGAGAGTCACCTTAATGACATTGAGGGCTAGCGATCCCCCGATCCACCAGGCGGCCTGCTCGCCTGAAATGGGCTTCACGTCCACTGGGACGATGCGGCCAGCGACACCTGGCATGCGGGCGGTCGAACTACTAGCTCCAGTTGTGGTGACTAGATGCCGCCGTATGAACATATGCAGCGCGTCGAGTATTCCAAGCTGCGCAGATGGTGCCTTCGAAAAATATGTTCGTGGTAAGCGATTTTCCCTTGGTGCCACTGAAACAGAACGGGTCGGTTAGAACTGATAGAACCAAGACCACTGGTTTTTGGACGAATAGGCATGCTGTATCTGCTGCATGACGCTGGATCGTGTTGTATGTATCTGCTGCTTGCTGGTGCTACGTCTGGGCGTATGTCATACCGCAACCAAAAGATGCTAATACTGCGCATGGTGCTGTAAAGTCGTTTCCTAAAGCAGGCTATGTATGCCGAAAGGTCAGCGAATTGCGCTTTCTACCGAGCATCGCTATTTTGGTTTACTTCTGCCTGTATTTGGTGTTCTTGAGAAGGACGTTTCCGCAGCGCATCTGTCTAGTGGTCAAGCCGAAAGGAGTGGGCGCATAGCTACATACTAGGTGCATCTCTTCAGCCCGAAAAATAGGTACAGCGCAAGCTATTGCAAGGATTGGATAGCGGCAACAATCAACGATAGCGAAAATTACAGCAACAGCCAAGTCCTCTGATCACGTGACCTGTAAGGAAGACAAACGAGTAGAGGACTTCACGGGCTAAGCAAAGCCGTGAATGCCTGCACACATTAGTCGGTAACTGGATGGCCTGGATGCAGACTTGGAGAAAAGTTCGGTGATTTGATTGTATAGTGTAGGGGGAAATGTGTACGAATGCTGGGAAGGTACTTTAAAAATAATACAGAATATCACTGCTTGGGTGCCTACATGCAGGAACCGATTTGCATAAAGGTTGGAAAACACGATAATGCAGTCAAAGCACACATGAATCAAAACATCCCCAAAACAATCAGAGGATGACCCAAATACTAGGCGCATGGAGTTTCATACACCACGTTTGATCTCAGCCCTCACAAAGGTATGTGTTAAGTTGTTAACTGCTCATTAGCAATGTTACATCGGCTCTTTTCAAACCAATGTTACGTTGCACAACATAGAAAATGATTCTAATCGGCTCGGCGTATGCAGTTTTGCAAGTGGTGTTTCACTTCACCTGTTTAGTTGTACACGTTTCGCGTCTTACATTTCACACTTGGTGTCTCACTCTTTGACCTAATGTCCGTTCAGTTTATTACCTAGATGCATGCATGCACGTGACGCTTTTTCAAAACTCGCAGACGACAGATATCACCCCAAACAGTTTGTCCTGGATTGCGCAGCTTCGCTTAATTTGCTAACGATTGCATCGCCTACAACGCTTGTGTTTCGGACCCCGGTTCCATCGCATGCCACCGTAAATTCGTTATGCTGGGGTTCACTGACTCAGCAAGCCGGGCACACTAACGGCCGCGTTTTACCATTGCATGTGATGTGCATATATCTGAGGTGGTGAAAAATACCTAGCGATCGATGTCATACTTGATGTCTATTAATTTCACTTGCTGCATCCAAAGGAGATTTTAGTGTGTGATTCTTCGTCAATGGTGACTTAATAATGATCACAAGGCAAATACAAAAGGATTACTATACCCTGCACGAACGTTGCTTTTACGGAAGCACATCAATAAGTTTAATTTTAAAGCATCTGTGTAACGTAGGATAACGTCAACGTTACTGCACATATGCAGCTCCCGTCTTAACCAAATTATTACCATGCGAAAGGCGCAAGTGCTCAGGACTCCTGCACGGAATACGTACCGGATGCATCAGACGGCCGCAGGATTACC